CCGAGTTTTAAAATTTGCTTACATAGATTCATATAAAACATGCATTATATAGGACCAACACTCTTCATGGTTTTCACTATGCCGCCTTTTGCATATCGGGCGTACCTCTTGGACAAAGTCTTGCCTTCGATCGTGCAGCTCTGGCCGGGCGACGCAAGTGAGATCGTGCTCCAGCACGACAATGCGAAGACCCACGTGACGGTGTCCGACAAGCGCCTACAAGAGGTCTTCAACGAGTTCAAGACCAAGGGGTGGACCTTTCGTTTGGCACCGCAGCCGCCGAACTCGCCCGACTTCAACGTCTTGGACTTGGGGCTCTTTGCCGTGCTGCAGTCGCTGCAACACCGCGAGGCCGCACGATCCATTGACGAGCTTGTGGCTAATGTTCGTCGAATGGTGAGGTCCGTTTCCTCGAAATCGCGAATTTTGACTGTCATGCGACACGCAAACTGTAACGTTACACCTGCAATAATCTGTGCCCGAAATAATAAATTCGTGGAGGTGGTCAATTTTTATTTTGGGAGGCATACAGCAAATTTTCTTATCGGGCAAGTAATTTGGATCAGAGGGAGTATACAGTTAGCGTATTACAGTATATGGCGACAGAAGTGAATTAACAGTAAATGCAAACACAGCCTCGACCAAATTGTTTGCACGTCTTATAGTCCAAGGCCAAGACCAACGAAGTCATAAATCTGTTTGTGTACACTGTTGTCGCTGGAACTTCACATCCTGCGTCGAGGTTTCGGGGTTTCAGGTCTTCTTCAAGGCCGGCTTCGGCCTCTCCAAGCTGACCATCGACTCGTTGCCGCGTGAAAACCGCGCCAAAATAGTGTACGACACGTTAAGAGACTGGAAACATCGACATCACCGCCCGCTGCGAAACTCGCCAAGGAGGCCGGCGTCTCGTGCCACCAATATCTGGATCGACTCCGTGGTTGCGATCGACCGTACCCCATCAACGGCTTGCAAGCCAAAATGGACCGTGTTGTCAAGCGCTGTATGGCTGATGCATGAAAACAGGAAAAGGAATTCTTTGGGGCAGCGTACCTCGTCGGCAGTTGTGATAGTTGTCGAGATCGAGAGGGGAAAGAATTTTGGCGCAAAGTCGGGCGTCGTGCACTCGTGGGCTTTGGTTTCGCAAACATTACGGAAGACGGCTTGCATTGCCGGAGCGAGAGCACCGTTGTAGTGTGTATAGTCGAGGAAGGTAATCCAGTGGGTCATGGAAGCAATCGAGATCCGTTGCCACCCACGTGCTTTGTCGGCATTGGCTACAAACTCCCTTCCCCACACGTGAGAACATGCCGTCCGGCGCCAGCAGCCGCATGCACACGCGCATGACGGCGGCGAAGCCTCAGGCGACCAGACTGCAACGATGGCAACTCGTCCTCCATCTCGACTTGACAAGTGCCTTTATCACTCCACATGGGAAGATGGATACATCGCGATTTCAATTTGTGTCCCAAAAGCGGCCAGCTTTGAATCTGCGTATCAAACGGCAGCTTGCCACGGGGGAATCGACCGGTACGACTGGAATACCTAGCCGACGCGGGGCACTTGGGACGAGTGGTCGCCCTTGGAGGGCACTAAGTCACAAAACACCACTCGGTAGACATCAGAGCCCCCAGAATTCCCTTGAGAACTTCCGCGCGAAGCCGCTTGACCGGGACGTGATACCTTTGACGCCGACCGAATTGCGACATTCCTTGGCCAAGCGTTCATGGCCGTCTTCGAGTTCTCGCAGGGTTTATCGCCGCCGTGGACGGGCAGAAGGCCAATGGCATGTGTACAATCAATCCACGTGGATGGCATGTCTAGTCGCACTGGGGTCGTGCGTTGTGTGGAGCGCGCGACAGGTCATGAAGTGCATCTTGTCTTCATTGAGACGTCACGGCTGAATTGAAGGTGCCGTGGCAGTAACGAGAAATGCCAAGGCTTGCTGCAGGTTGGCCAGTTCGTCCTCGACCCGTATGGCGGCCTCCCATGGCGTGATGGGTTTGACGTTGATGTCGGTCCTGGCAATGATGGCAGGTGTGTCCTGCGAAACACCAATGGACGACTCTTCCATTGTAATGGCGACTTCGCCGTCGTTGGGCTCGTTTGGCGATGTGGCTATGCACGATAGGAGGGGCTCCGAGTCGAGTGTATTGTGAGGACCAGTGAATGTAGAAGGGAGATGGCCCATCACCGCGAGCTCGGCCAGTTGCGACAGTGGTTTTCTATCAACGGGTCGACGACCTTTGCTAGTCTTGATCGATTTGTGTGGTCCGAACGACCGGAGCTACAAACGTGAGGTGCATGGCGAGCACGAACCGAACAGGTTCGACGGTATGTACCATGCTGATTTTCCAGCGCGACTCGTCTCGATCGGAACAGGTCGCACGGTGGGCCGAGTCGCGCAGGACGACGATGCAAAACTTGTTCCAACATCGTAACGTGGACTTGTCCTTGGGGTTGAGTACAATGGGGGCTGCGTCGTCACCGGTCTTGGTCATGTACACATAGCCACAGGCGATTTCGTGGTAGAGGACGCTCGCGCGCCGTGCGATCTGCCAGAAGCTCAACGATTCCGTCTCGTCGGCATAACTGACGATGCCATTCCGTTGAAAACAAGTGGCATAAAGCTCAAGGAAAATGGAGACTAAATTGTCACCTGGAGGCCGGCAACACGTCAAACGTGCTGCCATAATCGCCCAGGATATTGTCTAAAATGGCGTTGACGAAGCGATTCTCGGACACCATTGCGAGCATCCGGCTCACCTAAGATTGCGGAATGCGTTGAAGACACTCGCCCCGGGAGACCACCGTACCAAGTCGTTAGAGTTGACCCATTCGGCCGCGGCTTCGATGAAGGTGTTTTGGCGAATCGTTTTTTGCGTGCGCGTGTCCATGACTTCGGCGATGCACGGCACGTGGTGCATCTCGCCGCGGTTCTGCTGGACTTCCATCGATCGCAACAACATGACGGTCTTGAGGATTTGTGAGTCGCTCGACATCAGATCGTGGTCGGTCTCTTTGTCCGTCATGACAATGATACAGTCATAGGATCCGACGCGGACGTCGGTGAGCTGGCGCTTAGACGTGCAGCTGCCCACGATATGCGCGACTTGGAGGTTCGTCAGGTCGTTGAGGTGAAGACCGTCGGCGTGGAAAGTCTCGAGGCGCTCGTCGACGTCTGCGGAATTGACCAAGTCGACGGTGGTCCCGGGCAAGGATAGGCGCTGGAGCAGCATGAGAATCGTGTGGAGGTCACGCCGCCAACCGCATACGAGTATGCGCTTGGGTGGCGCGGGCAGAGGCCGTTTCTGAAACGAATGGCTCCAGTTGTTCGTTGGTGGAATGTAAATTGGCCCCGCCTCAGCTTCGTACGAGTCGTTGTCTTCAGCCACGACTATAATCGCGTCGCCTTCTTCGACGAGTCGGCTCGCTCGAGGCTTCACCAGAACTTGTCCCGATCTAAACACAAGCCAGTCGCAACCTAAAACGTGTCATGTTGTATGGGCACCACGTACCTTGTGCGAAGCCCGATGGGGATAGCTGATTCAAAGCGGGTGTAGAGTTCGCCAAATGGCACACCGATACACTCTGGCCACTCGTTCAAGTAGAATTCGTGGCCACCAAAGCCTAAGAGCGAGTTGTACACCCGACCGAGATGCAGCGACCTGGAACAGAGCACGACGAGCCGGCCGACAATATGCCGTGACACGAGCGCTTCAAGGATATCGCCACCGACAACACGCATGAAGTGTTTGTTGTCGAGTTGGCCAACATCTGCGACAATATGGCCCTGCAAAGGATGGTTCTAGCGGCATGAGCTGGTTTCGCAGGCACGGTCGGAAACACGACGGGTGTACCAACGATTTTAGCGTAAGCAGCACGCGGACGAGGGCATCGTCGGAGGCGCTGGTGTCGGCGAGGGTGGATATGATCGTGATGCTTCTGGCGCGGTGGACGGACACCTTGAGGAGGTCCGCGGCAAAGAGAGGGTTTCCCTTGAAGCATAGGATCTTGGTTCCCCGCAGCTCGACCATCGCGTGGATTTCCATGTCGAGTTCGGCTTTTGGTCGATCGCTCAGGACTACGACCACGCCGCCGCCCTCGCTTTCGTTGGCAAGACAGATCTCCCGGAGAAACCCGAGGCTTTTGTCGCCCCAACCTAGCATCACCTTGACGAGTTTGTCAGCGACACCTTCATCCTGTGATGAGCAACATGTACCGTGTGGCCGGCCTCAACGATCGGGCGCGCTCCCTTGTCGACCGCCTCGACTTTGACGAGGATCCAGTCAACCACGAAACCCACCATCACGTTGGCGTACAGCGACGTCAGGACAAATCCGACGAACGTCCATCCCCGCGAGATCTAACGTCGCCGAAATGGGTCGCCACCGTGGCTAGGTGGGCAACGTACCCAGAGAAAGGCAAACGTATCGTGGTTGTCACTGGATACCATGTCGATCTTCGGGTCGAGAATGTCGACGGCTGTCTCGTAGAGCGACATGAACAAGGTGGTGCGGTGGCTGTACATGACGATGGGGCTCACGCCCACGATGATGGCACACCCGACGACGACGAGCACGGCAATTTGACCGGTGCGGGACGATATGAGCTCGTCAAGTCGGTACTTGAACTCTCCCGCCCATGCGCGAACGGTGGCTAATCCCAGCAATCCCATGCGACCATGTCGACGTGGGAGACGTTCGGCCCACGATGAACGGAACCGACATCAGTTTCCCCAGTTACATGCAAGTCGTTATGTGCCGTCGCGACGGCGGATGGATATCTTCGACGCGACGCTTCTTGTCCTCCTGGGTGAGTTTGTTCAAGCTCCATTTGATAAGGTGCAAAAATTGGCGCAGCTTTATGGCAACTTCGTTGCAAGAGCCATGCACCTTGGCTGTCCCGCGGAATGCCATCATGAAGTGGAGAACTGCACCTAGCGGTGAGAGCACCGACAACAACGCTGGGCACAGCCGACACCCCCTGCGTAATCCAGACTCGCATCCGACTCCGATCCGCTCTCATTGTTGTATGCAGCGCGACCCATCGCCCCACCCACACGTTCTACTATCATCACGTATTCGTCGTTGTTACCGAAGGCTCGACGAATGTCAACGTGCCGCAGTTCATGAACTGCTGCGTGTTGTCTCCGTCCTTTTGCGCCCGTGGATCGATACCCGAAAACGCGATGAACTCGGCCATCGTGCGCGCTGTCCCCAGTCCAAATTGTGTGATGTTGGTTGCGTCAAAGTCGTCCGACGTCACGGGGAGCCCCAGGACAGTGCGGATCCGGCGCTTCGAGCGCTGCTGGACAATGTAGCGGTCCGGCCAGTCGCGCTCCCACACGACAGGGCGCGCTTCGTAGTGATGGTACACGACGTCTCGAATCGGCGCGTACATGTCGTACCTGGAGACATCGTCAGGACGAACGGACTAGCGGACAATGAAGTACTAACTAATGAACAATGGGACTAACTACCGTGACTAACGAACTAAAATGACGCGATGAACGACCTTCTAACGTACCCGTGTGTGAACAGCCGCGCTGCTTTCGAGTACTCTTCGCCGTGAAACAAGTAGGGCGTGAATGGGTCATTCCGGACGTCGAGCGCCGCGGTGGCTGGACCAAAGCTAAAACCTCCCGCGAATTGGCTGATCAAGATGGGCGACATGCGATGGGGAACGAAGTGCTGCGCCGGCGCGCTGTATTGCACCATCGCATCGCCATCCGTCGTTTCGATCCGTGCATAGCACATAATGGACGTCGTACCTACGAACATGCATGAGGTCACGCAACGAGCAGCTGAAGTACTTAGGCCAAACCACTGCGTCGTCCATCGGTCAAATGTGCGGGTCGTCGATTTGGGATATGCTGTCAATATCGCTTTTGGGTTCCGAACTGCGTCGAATTCTGCTTTGAGCTGCATGTCCCAGTGCGACACAAACACAAGATGCGAGTCGATGGCCAAGGCAAAGGTATCCTTGGTCAGGTCGATGCCTTTCTCCGTTTCGTATCGTGCTTTGGTTGGCCCTGTCGCAAGTGCCGCGTCCAGCGTGTCGTTGCGGCGAACGGCATTCCGTCGGCAATTCGCTTCGCCTACCTTGGCGCAGAATGCATCCATGCACGTGACTTCGTCGTGGTAGATCTGATCGTAGAAGCTCAAGAAGACCAGGTCTGGTCGTGCGGCGTTCGTGAAGAGCGACTGCAACGTTTCGGCACATCGCGTCGAGTCACGATAGTTTGCAATCAAGACAATCGTATTCCGGGATTCCTCGAGGATCGAAAACTTCATGCGGTACTGCTGGAAGTTATGGACGAGAAGAACGACAAGGATCACGCCACAGCAAGTATATGCATGCCCGTGAAGCCAGGACACACACGACCGGCGGTGGAGTCGCGTCGCCTTTTGTTGACCTGTCGCTGTCGGCAGCATAATCCACATGAACCCACTTCCCGTGATACTATTGGTGGACGAAAGGTGAATGGGCAAAATGAATTGGCTACTTGCAGTGATTTATATCCAATCCAAGGCGACGAAACCATTCTCCGCTCCCTCGACACAATCAGAGGGCCTGACGGGGTTCGAGGAGCCACGGCAATAATGGTGGCCGGTCTCCTGTAGCTTCTCTGGCTGCTCCACGAGCGCAGCTCGTCAGAGAAGACGGGCCTCTATTTCGTCAGTGTCCTTCAACCTGCTCGTCGCCTCCTCGAGCCGTTGGCTACACAGCCTTGCAAGTCGACGGGTGACCACCAGTGACTTTTCCAGATAACACAAACACCGTCCTGGTGAGTGCAGCATCAGTCATAACCATACCAGTCGCGTCACTTTGCAAACTCGAGCGTCAGCAGAGGCCTTCTCCCATGGGTTGGGTGCCGTGTCCACACTGTCGCGCTTGCCGTCCTGTGGGACACAGCCGCCGGACAAGTGGCAAACATAGGGTTTTTATAGATTAGACTAGTGTTCATGACCCGGCTTCGCACGGGGGGGTGAACGTGTAAAGTTGATTCGTGCTGGTTGGAGAGCCTAGGTGTGCAGTTGTCTAGGAAAGCCAAGATGTGCAGTTGTCTAGAATTCGCTGCTACACCTGCATATTTGCAGCTGCAGCGCCTTGTTGAAGAGTATAAACAAAATATATTGAGGAGAGCAGGACTCGAACCAGTGACCAAGGGGACTT